GACAAGTGGGACCTCATTAAACTAAGGAGCTTCTGCAAAGCTAAAGAAACCATCAAGAAAGTGGGGAGACAGCCCACAGAATGGGAAAAAAATATTTGCCAGCTGTATATCTGACAAAGGCCTAACATCTAGGATCTACAAGGAACTCAAATGCACCGAAAGGAAAAAAAAACAAACAGTCCCATTAAAAAGTGGGCAAAAGACATGAATAGACACTTCTCAAAAGAAGATATTTGGGCAGCCAACAGACACATGAAAAAGTGCTCAGCCTCATTCATCATCAGAGAAATGCAAATCAAAACCACATTGAGATACCACCTAACCCCAGTAAGAATGACCATCATTAATAAAACAGACAACAACGGATGCTGGCAAGGATGCAGAGAAAAGGGAACACTTCTACACTGCTGGTGGGAATGTAAACTAGGGCAACCTCTTTGGAAGACAGTGTGGCGATTTCTGAAAGAACTAGAAATTGACCTTCCATATTACCAAGCAATTGCCCTATTGGGAATATACCCAGAGTAACTCAAATCAGTCTACAAAAAAGATACCGCACACGTATGTTTGTTGCAGCCCTATTCACAATAGCAAAAACATGGAACCAACCATGCTGCCCATTGAAGTTGAACTGAATTAAAAATATGTGGTACATATACACAATGAAATATTATGCAACCATAAAGAAGGACAAACATATGGACTTTGCAGCAACTTGGATGGATTTAGAGTCTATCATACTCAGGGATCTATTGCAGAAACAAAGAACAGAGTACCATATGTTCTCACTTACAAGTAGACCTTGAACAATTATTATAATATTATAAGAAAGGGATTGACAATAGTGAGAAACTGTCAGGGGAGAGGGAGTGGGATTGGCAGTTGAGGGAAACTGCTAGGGGAGGAAGGGGCATACCTCATCAACAAGGGTACCTACATAATCGTTTGTATACCTAACCCTGAATTGTACCCCACATCTTTATTATAAAAAGGTTAACCATATTTGCAATAATTTTTTTTTTTTGAGTTGGAGTCTCACTCTGTCGCCCAGACTGGAGTGCAGTGGCTGCTCCCGGCACGCAGCTCAACTGCTGGGCTCCGGCGATCCTTCCGCCTCAGCCTTCCGAGTAGCCGGAATTACAGGTGTGCACTACCACTGTAATCATTTTTTTTTAATTAAAATGAAGTTTTTTTAGAGTATTATCTTGTGTCAAATTTATAAATTTTTTCTATATCCTTTAAATGACTAGAAGCCAGATAGTGTTTGGGGGTTAAATTTCAAACCTCTCATGGTAGTTATGAGACCAATTTTATAAAGAAAAATATTTGATTCAAATTTCAGTTTAAGGAATCTTAGCACGCCAACACATGTGATATTTCTGGAAGGATAGTGCAGCCCAGACTGCCTTTCATTGAGAAAAACAACAGGGTACAAAAAGTCCTGGTTTCTATATTATGTGTCATAATGCTCCCTAGAAACTCAGGCTCAGGAGCAAAACAGAGGATACATTTTCTTCTTTCATATGCTATATTAGCTTTGAGTAGTGAATATTTAGAGAGAGCAATATTTTGACCAAACTATTGCCTCTTTGTCCTCCTGGGTGCATGAAAATTATTTTCCATTCTACATTTTATTTGAGTTTTAGTAGTAATCCTGGTGGTGGTGCTGTAAGACTTAAAAGTATCTTAAGCTAACTGCAGCCTTGAGCTACAAAATATCAAATAAAATGAATTTTTTAAAAGTGTCCTATTAAAGAAGATGTAAAGTTATTCTTAAACTAACAGTGGTAAATAGTTTTGAGCTTTAAGAAAGGGGACACCACTACTGTACACTTTGAAGGGCAGTCCCAAACAGCTACTCAAAAAGATATCCTGCAGTGGATAAAACTTGAACATGGAGACAGACAGATCTGTGTGGCCCTGGGAACATTCCTAAGCCACTTGTGCATTTGCAAACTCAGGCTAATCCCTCCTCAAAACATTTTGTCTCAGCTGATTGATAAAACATCTCATGTAAAGCCTCCAGCACAAAGTATGATATATAGCTGTTAATTAGTTAGCATTGTTCACTTTATTCCCCAGAACTTTATTTAACTAATACACATTCTTGAATAGTAATAATAAATGACCAACACCATGTCTACGTTATACCTAGTAAGTTTAGGTGGTTAAGGAGAATCAATCTAATATTTTGCGTGTAGATCAATCTTAATTGTTGGAATTCTTGGTGAATTATACACAGGAATTGCAATGACAGCACATGCATCTTAGAAAATCCTTTTATATTTCATAATTTAACTGACATTGCAACCCAGGAATATAAGCACTGAATGTGTTGTTATTATCCTGTTTTAGAGATTAGAAAAATGCCACTTTCTGAACTGATGTTACTTCTCAAAACTTGAATTTGAGTCCGTGGGTTCTAAATTTTATGTGGTTTTCATGACATTATGTTGCCTTCTCACAGAAATAACTTTTTTTCCTTTTATAGTGACATGTTAGTGGACAGCTGGCCATTATAAGAAAAATATATTAGGTTAGTAAAACTTAACACAAGAAGTTAGGTTGGTCTATAAATCTGGTAAGAGTTCAATATTTACTGTTGAGAGATTATTGCTTCTTAAAATAGCCATAAATCCTTTCATACAATTAATATATCTGTTACACTTTAGGATAAAGTAGATTTGGTTTGAAATAAGGTTAGCTTCATTGTCCTTGGATGGCATTATTTATGAAAAGTTTACCTAAATGTACAAATTCTTTCATTGCCTATTCTCTAGCATATTGCAAATTTATAAAATTAATGAATTGATATTAAAATTTGGGTAGTATATTTAATTTACTTAAAGAAACCTAAGGTAACAAGTCAAAATAGAAAATATTTTGTATTCAACTTCACAGGCATTTTGTGGAACAAGTTCACATATCTACAAAGAGTCTGGATGTTCTTTTTCTCAAGGTAACTAATGTACCTAAAGTTCAAATTATTTGTCCAAAAGAATACTAAAAGCGCACCAGATGAAATGATTCATAATGGAAAATAGGAAGGACAGGGAACATGGATGAAGTATATGAAGATCTTAGATATGAGGATAAAAGATCTTAGATACAAGAATAAAACTATATGACCTTATTCCATAGATCAGTATCAAGAACTGTGTAAGATCTTACCTAAAAGTTAAACTGCTACTGTTTTATGACGCCGGTAGAAGATACCAAGTCTTCTGGGTCAGAGACAAAAAACGTTATAATTCACAGCAAAAAGCAGTGGCCAAGTGTAAGCATGTTGCTTTTACCAGTTTCTTATTGTATCCTTCTCCCTCCAAATATTATAGAGTTGACACAAAGGACCACTGAGGATGCCTGTAGGTGGTATGTTAAAGAAGAACATTGATCTTGATCTTGGGGGATTCACACAGCCTGTTTTTCATATGGAGGGAGGTGTTGCCTAATCCCACCAGCTTGCTCACTGCTAGCACCACCCTAAGAAATGGCTCAGGAAAAAGAGTAGACACAGGCTCTTTATCCTTGTTATCCCCAAAAGTATCTGCAAGGATGCTCAAGGCCATAGCAGAAGGCCTTTCTCAACAGCAAGCAGCTCCCAACATGTTTTCATGAAAAGAGACACACTCCCCTAAGGGATGAGAAATATTGCCATCAGTGACAATACTTTCTCTGCCGGTGATTCCCAAGAGGAGCAAGGGAAATCTTGTACCCTTTGCAAAAGCTTCCAGGATATTTTGATACAACCACCTCACGGATCTGGACATTGGTATCATAAGAAATTTGGGGAGGGCGGAAGTATCATAATCATATTTTTATTTTGGAAAGATCACTTAAGGCATGGTGTGGAGAATTGGAGAGTGAACAAGACTGAAGACAGAACCTAATTAAGGATGCTGTTATGATAACCCTGGTAAGTGACTGTGAGTGATCCAAATTAATGTAATCTGGTTGTAGAAGGTAAATCAAGAGAGAAGTGTTGGGCTGGAGAGGGGGAAGATGGAAACAGAGAATGATTGGTTGGAATTGACATACTGGTAAGGGAATCAACAGGTAGGAATTTGAGAATAAGTTCAGTTTTTAAAAGTTGTATTTGAATGACTTACTAATTTCACTGGCCTATATGATCAAACACAACTGGGCTTGATATATATCAGGATATAGAAAGAAGCACTCTATACAAAACTTTGAATCTAATAATGAAATTTACTTCCTTTTAACTTAAAATCAGCCAGTATTATTCACTCCCCAGCCAGGTATCTGTCAAACATATACATATACAGACACACAACACCAACATTTAGCAAACTGTAGTGAATACTGAAGTCCACTAGACATTTTAATTCATGACATAAAGCTCTTAGTCAAAAATAGCACAAAAATATCAACATTCCTGGTACCAAATCATATCCAAAATGTATAATCTCCTCTAAAGTCTTTATCAAATTAATATGACGAATGAATAATCTAAACACTTCACTTAAGCCTAGAGTTTCAAAGTCTTCTCATTACAAGCCATATTTCAAAACTAAGTAGGAGAAAATTGTGTCTTCTTATTTCTCTTTTCCAAATTGTAATAATCATTATTCATGAGTAAAGTGGACATAATCGAGAAAAAAAGAAGACAATGTCAGGAATGCTAGTTGGCAATAAATGAAAAATAAAACACCATTTTTGGTTAACATTCCAGCTAATGGTAATCTAGACCATTTTATTGACAAACTGACATTCAATTGTTATTTTTATCTATCTATCTATCTATCTATCTATCTATCTATCTATCTATCTACCTATCTATCTACTTTGCCAGCAATATTAGCTCTAGATACAAACATATGATGCTTGAAAAGTTGGTAAGGGACAAAAATGGGGTCCAAATCACTGATATTTTAGTAAATTCAATAAAGATGAAAAATAATGTTGGGCTGTAAGGAAATATATCTAGAAAATGAGTATTTCTTCCTTGTATGACACAGAGCTGGCTGCCATGCTCTTACCTGATTGCAGGTATTGATGTCTATGCCCCCCTTCAGATATTCCACCACTTTGTCCAGGTTGCCTGCTCTGGCAGCACGGAGGAAGCTTGCATTGCTGTCAGACTATGAGAAAAAGAAAAGGTCTTCAGTGAACTATTGATGGAATAAAAATGTACCACTTATAGAAAGAAAAGAATGCTTACACTACAAATCAGAAAACCTTTAGCTGGAAAAATTTCAACACTGTGTTAAAAACATTGAATAATCATTCACAGTAATAAGGTAACATCTTTACAACACTTCTAGAGAGTTGTGTAAGTACATTGAAAGTCAATGGGAAATACATTCTGCTATATTAACAAGTATAAAAGAACCCTTAAGATGAAAGTAATTGTTACTGCTTTGTTCCAAATCTTCAGCCACATTTGAAGACGATCTGACACCCAAATACCACTGCTACTCATTCATTTTAGCTTCAGGATTCTAATAACTTTAGACTGAGCCTAATATAAAGACAAAAATAATTAGAGAACTAAAATAAATGAAAGCTACTGAAGTTTTTTTTCTTTCTTTCTTTTTACTGTTAGTTTTCAGATGACCCTGAGGGAGAACGCTGAGTATGGGTCACTTGGCAGTCATCCGTCCTCAATATGAGGGAATAATAGAAAGCTCTGAGGATGCTTTGAGGAAAGAGGATAGCACTACTTGGCAGGTGTGGACGGGGCTGATGCAAATTTTGAGATCCCAGTGATTCTGGAAAAACATGATTAAATTTAAACCAGCTGACATAATACCAGACTAAAATCTCTTGGTTAAGATAACCACTCTGGATGGAGACTGCTTTTTAAGTTTTTCATCTTCCCATACTTCTCTCAAAATCTGATCCTGAGAGAATCAGCTGGGTTCTCCCCATGAAGAGTCCTGAGGAGAGTTACTCCAGAGATAGAACGACTATCACACTGCCCCTCTGGCTTGGTTAGAAAGTCTGACTTTGAAACCTTAACACAACAAGGATGATACACTTTTGCTAGGTTCCAAGACACTTGCATAATGGTTATAATTTTTCTTGTGATATATCATGAACCAAAGAGAAAATGGTAACATGAAGAGGGATATAATTTACCTATTAGGAAGTGTGATCCAGGTTTGATGAAGCTTAAAAAATTCTGCTCACTGGGCTACACTGCCTCCCTCCCTCGAAGAATGTACTTGGCAAGAACTCCTGGCACACTCTGTCAGAGTTATTTATTATGATTTGTGGTGATGTACAGAGATAGAAATGGAAGTATTTTCTCTGGGAGTTTTGAATATGGAATTATTTGCATACTGTTAAGATAATTTACACATGGGAAAACTGAAACCCACAGAACTCAATTACCTCACTTTCAACCCAAATACCAAATGGCTTGTGTGTTTATAAATGAGATAGATAATTTATTGAGTTGAAAGGTGTGGATGAAATCTATACATCCAAAATTCATGCTCTGATTTTACAGAAGTGCATCATAGTATGATTAATATCACACTGTTCTTCCCTCCCCCACCCTTATGATGTCTCACTCTTCATCCTTCCTGAAAGCTGTGCCCATGGCAGCATGCCCTAAGAATATCTGCAGTGCTGTAGTGACTACATTGCAACTCATTTTTAAATGCCTATTCTATGAGATTATTTTGCTGTTTGCAACAAATGCTGAATTCCAGGAGGATCTTAAAAGTGGGGCATAATACTATGTAATGTGTTATGTCCATATCTCACAAGAAACATTATTTTTATAATGAAACAACAAAAAAAACACACACAAAGTATGAAAATATTATTCCTGTAAACAGTTTTTTCTTTCAAAATAAATTTGTGTGCTATTTATTATATTAAAGGTTGTTCTAGAAAGTACTTTCAATTTGTACATGAAGCAAATGACTATAGGTAACATGTATAGAACATACCACTATGCTCATTTCATAGATGAGGGAAAAGCTCTAGAAATCAAGGCCACACATTTATTCAGTAGAACATCCACGATTTAATTCATGTCTATCAGACTCAGAGCTGTAAGTCTTATCTGCTATTCTATCCCACCCTACAAAAGTATCAAAGCAGATGTTATTACAAATTCCTAACATGTGAGCTATAGGTTTATTTCATTTGTGTTAACTGCAGTTACGCCCTTGGTATACATATTCGCTGTATAAATCATGGCAATTGCTAAATAAAGTGCCTCAGTTGGAGAGGAAATTCTTGGCAGTCATCCCTTCCCTCACATCTATCATCCATCTCTATGCACCTAGAAAAATTAAAAGTCAACTTGAGACAAACTACTTAGAAACATATTCATTTGAGAAATGTGGTAAAGTATACACTACATTAAAAAGCCAAGTGACTGTCTATTGCCATGCCTACTATGATTAAAGTCAGTAAAAGATCAGGTTGCTCTATTTTCTGTTTTAAAAAAGAGTGCTATGAACAGGTAGAGCCAAAGGAAGAGCCTAACCCCCAAAGGATGAAAGTAACACCTAGCAACAACACTGCAGAATCCTAGAGAGGAGACGATGGTCTGACGGGGGCGGGGGGTACAGGCATCACTAAAGAGGACATAACAGACTCTCTTGGAATCTTCTGCAGGGATTGAGCATGACATTGAGGATTGCTTTTGTTGTTACATAGTAACAAAAAGTTTTCATAACTGGCTTTCCCTTTTTGAATTAAAAAAAAAAATGGATGAAAGTCAAAGAATTACAGCTAATCCCTGGAATTTTAGCAAACAGAGTTCCCAGTGTTCTGAAGAGTCTGTATCCAATGGAAATATAATATCTGAGCCATCCTGCCATGGACCACTTCAGCAATTGAGTCATAGCAGACTTTGGTATTAAGTTGGATTCTTCTAGAACCCCATTAAGGGACTTAGTTTTCCCAAAGTGAGAATATGCATTAAATGAAAATATCATTATAAAATGGCTCAAGAATGTGGGTTTCAAGGGCAGCATTAAAATGAAATGTTAAAATGTATGTAAGAATATTGATATTATGTATATCAATATATATCTGCATATATACAGAAATACATAGTCTTTCCCTCTTCCCTCTCTCCACATAGACACACACACACATCCTACTCCACAATGAGGTCAATCTGTGATTAAAGCTCTTGACACAAAAGCTTTGGATAAACAATGGTTAGTCTGGTTATCTTCAATCAGCACAGAGATGAAAGAAGATTCAAACATTCATGGAGAGAAATGCAACAATTTTTACCTTGCTGTGTTCCCCAATTGATTATGACAAAAGCAGGATTTTAAAATCAAGCTTGGAGGGGTGGGGGGCGGGGGGGGGGGCAGCAGGAAGCATGTTTTCAAAATAGACTATTTTTTTTTTCTCAACCAGGGGATTTCATACATAAAAGCATAACAAAGAAAAAATGAGGTAATAGCAACTCCTTTGGGAGAAAGTGTCAGACAAATCTAAGACTAACCTCTCTTTGCTTTGGTATTTTATGTCCCTGGGACCCTCAAATCCTAAAATCAATTGTACTTATGCCTATAAAGTGTGATCCTGGACAAGGAACTCAGACACTGAGTCCCACCTCTTTTGATCTGCAACACATGGATGTCATTAAAATGTGCTTCCTTTTGAGCCCTAATATGACACCTCAAACTGAGAAAGAAAAATTTCCTCTTAAATTCTTCTTGACACAGTTTTTCCATTTTTTGTATCTTTGTGTTAGAAAAACAGAACAACTTTCTCAGCACCCAGAAGTATGGACATGAAAGTAAAGGAGGAATGTGCATTGAAAGAGCCACAGTATATCCTGAAGGAGTGCTTTCTCGAAGCTCTAGGGGCATGCTCACAGGTACCCATGAGTTTGCTATGAGTTGTTTTTTTTTTTTTTATTCCGTGCTTACATTTCAATCATAACCTAAAAGAGAGACTATTAGCATATTCCAGGTCATCTAGGGGGCTAGCCTGTAGGTAAGTATAACCATACAATTTTGGCATGTGCTTTTGTGTATATAATTTAGTGTATAAGTGCCATCCAAATGATATGTAGATGCAAGAAACACCAAACACTTTGCTGTAATACAAACAGAAAATAATTGTCCGAAAATCTGGTCATCATACATGGCCAGACATGATGAACCCAAAGAGCCTGAGCAATACCAGTCAGTAGCATGTTAATATATGTTCACATGCTATCCTCATATGGTCCAACTTACACTGACCATTGACAGAGTATAATAGAAAATTCAGTGAAACATTTTTTTCAGTTCTCAATTTTACTGAGATTTATTGAATTGTGTATACAACTGTATGACAGTACTAATTTCATCTCCAAGTAAGTAGTAAGTAAAGAGAACTTTCAAAGCTCACCAAATGGCATGCCATTAAAATCGATAATAGCAAATTTCTCGATAGTTTAAAGTTTTATTAGCCTCAAGTAGGAAACAAAATCTTAAACTTACTAATAGTTTATGCAACGTGCTTACAAAAATGACATTATATTCCCATTGAAATCAAATTCAGAAATATATTAAGTATAGAATTCTGAAGTGATAGCTTTTTACTATTAAACTCATTTTTTATTTTAGTTCTAGACATTTCTATCCACTCTATTAAACTGGTGTCATTTATCTGAATAATATTAACAACACTTGTTTTGTAGTGGTATAAGAATCTGAAGAATTGTATGTAGTTTTATGCTTTTAGTATTTAAATTAACACTGTGATAAAAACACTACTGGAGGTCATGCAGATTTTTTATACTTTAAAAGAGCTCAATACAGTATTCAAGTTTGAGAAACACTTGTTTAAAAGTATGAATCAGCCCGAAGTCTACTAGCCTTAAGAGAGTGATGCAGAGCACCTTCCCCACTGTCTCTGGCTTGCTGTGTGCCCTCCACAAATATTTGCTGACTGCTTAACCTTAAGTTAAGCACATGTACCTCGTGGAATTTGAGGAATCTGCTTATTTTCTTAGGAAGCAGTTATCCCTTTGTAAAACAGGGTCATTTACCTGCTTACTCTGAGATCTACATTTTTACAGCAGCACAAAATAAATACAATTTAATAAAATAAATAACTTCAGGGGAAAAACCTTAATATGAATACCAGGAAAATAAGGAACATTTTT